TTAGAGAGGGAAACAGACAAAGCCGGATGAGAGGGAGCGTACGATAGATAGATAGATAGATAGATAGATGATAGATAGGATGATGAAAGGTTACATAATGAGTGTATAAACAAAATATAATACTGACACCTCGACAACAGTGATTAATTAGTGTAGAGGAAAAGAAACACGTATGGTAAAATCATTAAAATATATATCGCATAATTATAGTAAGAGAAAGCTAGTGTTTTTTTTAATTATTTTGTTTTGTTATTTATATTTCGCGATTTAAATCAGTTGTGGTGGCGGAGTATGACGTTGTCGACTGCGCTAACCAGAAAAAATATATGTGGAAAATCATAAAAATTAAATGTGTTTAATAATTTATAATGCTAAACCTCACGTATTCATGAGACTTTATGTTTACCGTAGACGAAAGTTATTTTATTTATAACACAAAGAGTGTGTCATTAACCATACCTGTTGCTTTTGTGTATAAGGAACCAGTTTAGACCAGCCAGCAACACGCCTACTAGGCTGCATCTACTGTACACCAATTACGTCCATATATGCCCGTGATTACGTATACACACAGTAAATTACCGTAAAATTATGTGATCTATAAATAATGAAAAATATAACCATATATTATTTTTTCTTCCAAATTTATATATAAATACCCCAACGGTAGAGCTGTTGCCAACGGTGTGGTGCAGACATGTGGATGAACAACAGTGTTACCAGAGAACGTATCAACCATAACCAGGATTCACATCTAAAGAAATTTCAGTTTAAATTGCATATCTAACCTAACCTAACCTAACCGCATATCTGGAGAACGTGTTAACTGGCTCACTGTAACTCAGGGTGAAAGACGGGGTGAAAATAGGTTCTAAATTCCGTCGTCAGAGAGAGAGAGAGAGAGAGAGAGAGAGAGAGAGAGAGAGAGAGATGGAAATGGAAGGAGGGGACATGAGGAAGGGAAGGAAAGGAAGGGAAGGTGAAAGAAAGATAAACAAATAGAAAGAGGGAAGGAGAGATGCCTTAAAATGAAGAGGTAAGATTCAGAAAAATAAGCATGGGCAATTACATACGACAATTAAATGAAAGTGAATGTGTGTGTGTGTGTGTGTGTGTGTGTGTGTGTGTGTGTGCGTGCGTTCCCATGTCACCTACACACACGACAACTTAGATATCTTCACCACAACATTGTAAACGTCGACACTTTTCCACCATTTCTCCAAGTTTAAATATCCTATCATCCTTAACTCGGCCTTTTGTTCCCCTACCTTCATTACCTGATATGCCTAATTGATCAGATAGGTACAGTAATAAAGTTAATTAACAGTACAGGTAAATACGTGACACCCCCAAGCATGACGTCTGTGGTAACACCTAAGAGAAGCTGCAACAACACAGCCGAGAATGAGAAGTAATCAGTGGTCCTGAGATGTAGTTGCACTGAAGCTCACCTAGAACTCCTCTCGTCTCATTTCAAGTCTTCGTGGAGCCGCCAACAGCCCCTTGAGGAATGAGAGGAATGTGTGGAAAGGAAGGAACACTCTATACCTGCTCTATGGCTAGCTGAGAGGGGAGACTGAGGGGAGAAGTGTGTGTGTGTGTGTGTGTGTGTGTGTGTGTGTGTGTGTGTGTGTGTGGTAATTGGCATTAGTATGACTTTAAACTGTGGTTGTGATATAGACACTTCTCCCATCCTATATATCTTCATCCTATCCTCAAACTCCACCTATACCTTCTATCCTTCATCCTTACCTTACCTCATCCTCCCAAACCAATCTTTCCCTCTCATCCCCACAAACCAATCTCCGACCACCTCTAGCCCTGAACCTATCCCCTACCATCCTCTCTATCGCTACCAATACACCACCAGGAGCGGCGGCGCTATTCATCTGGTTCTCAATTCCTCAGGGATACGGAAATTAATTCACGGCCACTTTGTAGAGTTATTAATGGTGGGCAAACATACATTTGCCTTCACCCTGCTTTATTTTTCACCCACCTCCACCTACCCACCCACCCAACTTACCCACCCGCTCTCACCATTCTCCCTTACCCAAAAGCCTCTCACCATTTTCTCCACCAGCCTCCACACCTTCAATTCCCATTTCCACTCTGTCACCCTGCCCCTCCATCTCACCCACTTCTCCTCCCACCTCACTCACCCATACTGTCCTTCATCCTCCTCACCTCTCATCTCCCACCTACTCTCAATTTCCTTCCACTATTCCTTCCCTCACCCTCCTCACCTCTCCTCATCAACATAGATATCCTCCTCTCTTCACTCCCTACCCCCCCATTTGAATATTTTGCATAAGCCATTTGCATATCACCACTTCCATTATTTTTGTTTTAATGGTACACAGACCTCCTCAACCCAGTCTCTAGCCTATTGTTGTTTTAATGGTGCTGATGTTATAATGGTGTGTTAATGGTGTTGTTAATGTTATAATAGTGTGTTAATGGTGTTGTTAATGTTATAATGGTGTGTTAAAGGTGCTGCTGATGTTATAATGGCGTGTTAATAGTGGTGTTGCTGTTTAATGGTATGTTAAAGGTGCTGTTGATGTTATAAGTTGTTAATGGTGTTGTTAATGTTATAATGGTGTGTTAATGGTGTTGTTAATGTTATAATGGTGTGTTAAAGGTGCTGCTGATGTTATAATGGCGTGTTAATGGTGGTGTTGCTGTTTTAATGGTATGTTAGGTGCTGTTGATGTTATAATGGCGTGTTAATGGCGGTGTTGCTATTTTAATGGTAGTGATGTGTTAATGAAGTGTTGGAAGAGGAAGAGATGAATAGGAAAATGGAAGAAGAGGAGAGGAAGGAAAGGAACAAAGAAGAGGAAAAGAATAAGAGAGAAAAAAAGAAGAACGAGGAATAAGAAGGGAAGAGGAGGAGGAGAATGAAAAAGAAGAAAAAAAGAAGAAAGGAGGGGATGAAGTGGAGGAGGAATAGGAAGAAATCAAGGAGAATGAATGCAGTCAACGGAGGAAAGGAAGAGTAATGCTAACAGCGGAGGAGGAACAGGAGGAGGAGGGAAGAAAAGAGTGTGAACAAGAGACAAGAAAGAGCATGAGGAGAAATTGTGTTTTATTGGTCACACACACAC